ACATAATTAGTTAATTTATAATTAATTTTAAATTTTTAAAATAAAAATATTTTAAAAAAAAAAAGGGCACAAATTTATTGTCATTTACAATGAAACCAATTGGTAATAGAGGAAGAATGGTATTTGTTGGGATATTTGATGTTGATTGTAACTTAGAAATTGTTGACATTTGTACCGGAATTGATTGGCTGGATTCAATATGTTGTACATTGATAGTATCAATGAAATTATACTGATCCGGAAGATTGAATGTTGATTTAGTAGGATATTCAGGATGATAATCCTCTTGTAGATAAGAATGATGATTCTGATGATAATAGGCACTACGTCGATAACGTTGTTGTTGTTGTTGTTGTTCGAGCTGTTGTAGTAGTTGTTGTTGTCGTTGTTGTTGTTGTTGTTGTTGTTGTTGTTGTTGTTGCTGTTGTTGTTGAGTTAATGCAAGTAAACGAGGTGGTACATGAAGTAAGGTTGCTATTAAATTTGTTGTAGTTTGACTCATTCCAGTACTTAATATATTTGCATATTCCAAAGCACTTGGTTGTACATTATTATCCAAGATATAATCCAATGCTACGATATAATTCCTATAAAAATAAAATTGAATTATTAAAATATTTGTGATGATTAATTAATATAAAAATAATTAATTACCATTAATTATTATTAATTATTGTTTAAATAATGATGGTTGATAAAAATTGTTTGAGAGAAAAAATTTGAAAAATTATTACAGTACCAGTACTATCAATTGGGTGCTAACAAATTGTTTCATTAGGTTTTTTTTCTCTCTCTCTCTCTCTTCTTTTTATCTCCCCTTCTTTTTAAGAACTCTTTAACTAAAAAAAATAAAATGGAAATAAATTATAGAAAAAATAAATTGTTTGATTAAAAAGAAAATTAAAATAAATTACAATTAGACTAAATTCAAATCATAATACATTTACAACAAATGTTTCTTTTCTTTTTCAAAATTTTTATGAAAATTTCAAAGAAAAAAGGATTCAATTAATTAGCTGTAAAGGTAGAATTATGTTAAAAACTTGACAAATATAAATCAAAAAATAAATAGGATGGTGGATTTGGAAATTAGTTTTTCTTTAAATTATTAATTAATTAATGATAGTTGATGGCTAAAAATGGAATTAATTGGAGTGGAATTAATTAATTCAAATAAAATTTAATATAAAAATAGGAATCAAACAAGGGAGGGGGAGGATAAAACGCAAAAAGAAAAGCGCAAAAAGGGGTGAGGGAGAAGAAAGAATTATTCAATTAGGTTAATGTAAGAAAGGTAATGAAGTGAGGGTGATGATTAAAGGTGAAAAAGGTAGTGAAAAGGATGATGACAATTTTAGGAAATGATTACCACAGAAAATAGGAAAAGAAGTGATGGGATAAATTACTGTTTCCAGTCGTAATTAGCTCATTATTATTTTATTAAAATCATTCAGCAATAACCGGTAGTATGTGGCAAGGCTAAGCTTAGCTTCTTATTCATCCCCTTTGTCTAATTAAATTAATTTATATCGATCAACTACAAGAAAATTATCTTCTGTATCTGTGTATGTATGTATGTATGTGTGTGTGTATGTGTGTATGTGTGTGTGTATGTATGTATGTGTGTGTGTATTTGTGTACGGTAAATTATAAAAGATTAGAAATATGTATTAAAAATGATGAAATATTTAACATAAATATATGAATAATCTGAAAAAAATTTTACTTATGATTTATAAGTATAAGAAAAGTTAAATGAATTAATTAATTATTTATTCAGGGATAGGGATTAATGTGAAATTGTAAATTATTATAATTTTTACAGTAAATTTATTTAATATAAAATATTTCTAAATGGTACTGTATATTGCTTTCAAAATTAGACACGTACATAACATAGACACACACACACACACACACACACACACACACACACACACACACACACACACACACACACACACACACACACACAC